AGATTTTAACAACTCTGAGCTATTAGTTAAGTTCTCCCCAAGCGAGCTCGATGGGCCGAATGGCCTCCTCTCGTTTGTATAGTTCTTATGTTCTTATGTTCTTATGTAATTTGTAAAGTAAGAAAAAAAAAAAATCCAAACAATGTGTCCTGCCCCGATCGTCCGCTCCTTCCGTGTGCCACGCCACCTCATTAATCCCGTGTGGAATCCCCCTGTGATCAGCTGTTTCTGGTTGTTGTCCTCTGTATTTAGTCTGCATTTCAGTTTGTTTCCCCAGTCCGGTCACTGTATTGCCCGTCTGCGTTTTGCCTGCCTTACCTGTAATTAAACTCCATCTACAGTATGCCTTTGTCTCCGTTCCGGCCCCGCTCGGCACAATAATATTATTATAATTAAACGTATTAATGGTTTATTATTAATATTAAAATAATGAATAAGAAATCTTTATTTTTAAATGTATTTTATTATGTTTATTACTGTTACTGTATATCATTGTCTAAATGTATTTTATGTCTAAATATATGTATTCAGCTAGTGTAAACATGCACAATGCTATCACAGCTAATGCGAGGCTGAGACTGAAGCTTTACTCTTTGTTTCCGCTGAGAGACGTGCCGCGTGACTGATTTCCCCGTGCGTACAAGTTATCTTAGGTTGACGTTCACGGTTTGACTTCTGAGATTCAGATCGAGCTCTATGTAATTTTTTTTCAAACTGGTTGGTTCGACTTTTAAGAAATTCGAGTTCTAATGAGTTCGAGAAATGAGGTACCACTGTATATGCCCCCGCAGGGGACGGCTTTATTTTCAATTTCCTTTGCACAAAAGAAAAAAAAACACAGAAGGAGAACACAAGAAGGGAGAACACAAAAAAACAAAGAGAATCAAAATGAAAATAATGATAATAATATATGTACTGTTTCTGCTCCCTGCATGGATTACCTTACATTTATCTACATTAAATTTCATATGCCAGGTATCAGCCCAGTTGTTGATTAAATCAAGATCCCATTTTAGCCTCTGTGCTGCTAGTTCAGTATCTGCTACACCACCCACCTTGGTGTCGTCTACAAATTTAACCAGTTTACTGTATGTATTGGTGTCAATATCATGTAAATTAGGAACAGTAGTGGTCCTAAAATTGAACCCTGTGGTACCCCACTATGAATGCAGGCCCACTGTGACATTGTCCCTCTAAAAACTACCCGCAGCTTCCTGTCTGTTAACTAGTTTTTGATCCAAGCTGCTACAGTTCCTAAAATCTCTGAGCTTAAGCAGGAGCCATTTGTGGGGGACAACATCAAAGGCCTTCTGGAAATCTAAGTAGATCACATCATAGGCCTTTTTGTGATCAATTTCTCTTTGTAGCTTTCTCAAAAAGCTCATTAAACTCATTTATTATATTAATTTAATTTTCAATTATAAGGCCCTTACTATCCTGAAGATAGCTTTTAGAGCTCTTTTAGAGTTAAAATATTGGAAGGAACATTTAATGTCATCCTTAGCCTTCAGCGCAATCTTCCTTTCGACATTCCACTTAGCCTAATGTTATTTTTTAACTCAACCTGTAGACTTAGATACTCCTGCTTTATTTTGAAAGCATTAGTTATTTTCCATTTCCTCCTCACTTTATTCTTAACTTCCGTAGCAAACCACCTTGGTTGCAGTTTCCTAGATTTAGTTTTGCTGGAAACAGGTATGAAGTCCTCTTGCACTTGCAACAATGTCCATGCCTCTTCAACAATTTTGCTATTTAACTCCATGATGTTTACAGTTTCTAGTTTCAGTCTTATACCATTAAAGTTAGCCTTCCTAACATTGTATATTTTTGTTTTGGACCTTGCTCTTCAGACACTAAAATTAACCTCAGATTTAATCACGTTATGATCACTACCGTCCAGTGTTTGTAAAACATCTAATTTTCCAGTCCTATCCCGGTTATTGAAGAAAACAAGATCAAGAATGGCTTCTCCCTTGGTAGAGGTATTAACAAGCTGAGTAAAAAAGCAATCCTGTACCAATTCCACCATCTCAAGTTCTTTTAGCCAGAGACTATGTCCCACTGTATCCCAGGTAAATTAAAATCACCCATAACTACCACATCATTTTTATTACTCAAAAGCCTGATGTGGTTGCATAACATTCTGCTTTCTTCTGCAACTGCATTAGGTGCTCTATAACAAACACCGACAATTAGGCCATTTGAGTTTTTAGCATCTAGTTTTACCCATACAGCTTCTGTACTTTTATTTTTACCATTTTTACGTATATTGCAACACCACCTCCCTATACGGCAACACCACCTCCAAAGAAATATATTCATTTCGTTGTGCACTCCAAATTCAAACCAGACAGCACATGATGAATATGTGTACTGTTACAGCCCTGTCTGGGAATTAGGGGTCATCCCAAGCAAAGCTGCACTAAACATTTCCTCTCACCCCATGGACAAGCTCAACAGTGGCAAGTTAGCATAAATTTCAGCAAAACATTCTGGCTGTCATCTGGTTGTTTAGATTTCTTGTCACTAAACTCAACCTACTTCTCATTTAAAAGATGGAGTTAGTGAATAATGTCAAATAAAAGCAGATAAATAACAGTTCATCAACCCAGTAGACACATTTGATTTAATTATGTGCCTTCAGAGAGGTTTTGTGTATAATTGTTAAGTTAAAAAGAAAATTTTCAGAAATAACAAAGTTCATATTTGTAAAAGTCATTTACATCTAGTAAATTACATCACTGTAACCGCTTAATCCCAAATAAGGTCGGGGAGGACCAGAGCCTATCCCAAGAACAATGGGCACAGCCAGGAATAAACCGTGGGCAGTCACCAACACACCACAGGGCAAACTTAGAGTCACCAACCAACCTATCATACACACTTTTGTACTGTGGGAGGAAACCAGAGCCCCCAGCAGAAACCCACACGAACACTGGGAGGGCATGCACACTCCACACAGAAAAGTCCTATGTGTGGCCCAGGGACTGAACCCAGGACCTTCTTGCTGTGAGGCAGTAGTACCAACCACTGCACCACCTTGCCCATCAAGTACATGTATATGTTAAATTTCACTACCATCTCCCTTAATTGCTTATTAAATTTATAGCAAATAATACCAAATAACACCAAAGTTTGGATCATACTTTTATTAAACAAACAAACAAATAAATAAGCTTGCTTGTCAGCCGACAAATTCATTGCTCCCCAAACCAATTCTCAGGGACCCCTCTATGTATATGTTAAATTTCACTAGCTGCTCACTTAATTAATTAACATTTAAATGATCCGATGCGGTATTAGCCAAACATGGTATACTAGTAGTTGAGTCAAAAATTACATGGGTAGACTGGATGGTTACTGTAAATACCAGGGTGACATTCAGGTATAATATCTAACACACAGACATTGTAGTTTTACACCAAGATAAAGATAAATTTCTTAATTTTGTTTGGCATCGTAAGACTTTTGCACAGTACCTTATATGGGATTTTTATAAATTTCTAATCGCATACTTGTAACCATTTTTTCCCATATTTTCAATGGCACAAAAGAATGAATAATCTCTTCCCTATCTCTAGGTGTGTCTGTCCTTGACAGCTAAGCGACTTGCAAGTAAGAACTGTGTTGTGAAGAATTTGGAGGCTGTAGAGACCTTAGGTTCTACTTCAGTTATCTGCTCTGATAAGACGGGCACACTGACCCAGAACCGTATGACGGTGTCGCATCTGTGGTTCGACAACCAGATCCATGCTGCTGATACCACTGAAGACCAGTCAGGTGAGTGGTGACCCCATGTCCAGTCTATTAAACTTTTGAAAACTGCCGTGTCATACATCCAGTGATACTGAAGGTTTGGTGTCGATTATTAGTACAAATCAGTTTAAACCAGATGTAAATATAATGACATTGACACTATGAGTTCTGAAAGGCTAAGCCCATTGTATTTGAATATGCCATACTTATTTCAATGTATCTCTGTACACAGGTCAAAGTTTTGACCAGTCATCAGAAACATGGCGAGCTCTTGCAAGGGTTGCAGGACTCTGTAACAGAGCTATATTCAAACCTAATCAGGAGACTGTGCCCATCCCAAAGGTGAGGAATAAGCCCACTGGGAGACAGACTGATACAGCAATACACATCTGAATATCAGCAATCAATAAAGACATATTTTTCCCTAATTTAATCCACTGATTTACAAAGAGAGAAGTGGTGGGTGATGCTTCTGAGACTGCCCTACTGAAATTCACAGAGCTAACCATCGGTAACATTGTGGAGTATAGAAATCGATTCAACAAAGTCTGTGAAATTCCATTCAACTCCACAAACAAATTCCAGGTAAGATATTGACCTTTTGTTAAACTGACCAATAATGTTGGGTTTTCAGGTACATACAATTGCCTTTGATATACAGGATCTCTATCACATCCTTCAGGGAAATTTAGCATTTTACATTTTGTCTGTGGAGTTCTATGTCCCATGACAACACATTGTTCATTTTCACTCGTTTTATATTTAGTTTTAACTTAATCTCTCCCCATGTTGGCTGGCAGTTGTCAATACATGAATTAGAAGACCCATTAGATTTGCGCTACCTGCTGGTGATGAAGGGAGCACCAGAGAGGATCCTGGAGTGTTGCGCCACCATACTTATTAAGGGTCAGGAACTTCCCCTGGATGAGCAGTGGAAGGAGGCCTTCCAGACAGCTTATATAGACTTGGGAGGTCTGGGTGAGAGAGTGCTTGGTAAGTGATATATATGAGCATCAATTTAGGAAAGGATGTTTTTAAAGCAGGAAGACAGAACACCTGAAGGGTGTAGGGATAGAGTGACTCCGCAGGAGTTTATGCTGATCCCATGTCCCCAAATTTTGCATTTTTTGAAATAGGCTTCTGCCACATATACCTTAATGAGAAAGAGTTTCCCCGAGGCTTCCGCTTTGATACTGATCAGATGAATTTCCCCACGTCGGGTTTGTGTTTTGCTGGCCTCATCTCCATGATTGACCCACCACGTGCCACTGTTCCCGACGCTGTCAAGAAGTGCCGTACAGCTGGCATCCGGGTACTAATGAACGATGCAAAGTAAAAACTTTTTTTACATATTATTAGGCTAGAGGGTTTGTACTGAGTAAGCATGGGATTTTGTAACTATTTCATAAATAATTCATATAAAAATGTATTTTCACTCAGGTTGTCATGGTGACAGGTGATCATCCAATTACAGCAAAGGCTATTGCAGCGAATGTGGGTATCATCTCAGAGGGCAGTGAGACGGTGGAGGACATTGCCCACAGACTACGTATTCCTGTGGAGCAGGTTAACAGGAGGTAAAAAAAAAAAGAGAGATGCTATAGCCCTAACAGACATGAGTAACAGCCAGGTCCACAGGCCATATCCAGCCCACTAAGCTAATTTTACTGGTGCTCACAAGCATTAAAATGAATGAATGAATGAGTGGTTAAAGTTTTATGTTCTTTGAAGATGAATATTGTAGGTAAAATCTTCATTTTAGTTCTTAATAATATACGGCAATGAGTTAACTAAACATATAAGTTAAATCAAATATGAAAAATGCAAGATTTTCAAAAAGAGAAAAGTAAAATCTAACAAGTTTCTTTCATGGGACATGAAACTAATTAAAAAATGCCCCCTGCTGACATGGAGAAGCTCAGATTTCACCCTCCACAGAAAATTACTGCCCAGGCCTGCTCTGCACTCACATTGCAGAAGAATCTGGAAGGTTTATATTGAAGTCGCATATAGCAAGATACCAAAGTCATTCTCAACATAAAATGTTTAAAGGATGAACTCCTAAATGCTTTCAATGAGTTATGTTGTATTTCCATTTTCATGAAAACGTTTTACTTTCTAATGCTGTTCTCAGGGATGCACGTGCCTGTGTCATAAATGGTGGGCAGCTGAAAGAAATGTCCAGTGATGAGCTGGATGAGGCCTTAAAGTGCCACCCAGAGATGGTGTTTGCCCGTACCTCACCACAGCAAAAGCTCATTATTGTGGAGAGCTGCCAGCGATTGGTGAGCCAAGAGAATTTGGCTTATTTGCTCCAGTCATTTACTTCATATATAAATTTAACTAAATCATTCCAATATGATTTATGAGCTACAAGATTAGAGTCACTGATGCCATAGTTGGAATATACACAAACCACCTATACTTTAAAAAGTATATATTTCAGCTCCTGAACTAAAGAGGTGTAGCAGTTAATTGACATTTATTTTGCTAGAATTTTATAGATTTGCATAATATCTACGATTCTGATATCTAATACTTTCTGGTTCTCCTTTCTTCAAACATTTTTCTCTAGGGATCCATTGTAGCTGTGACGGGGGATGGAGTGAATGATTCCCCAGCCCTGAAGAAGGCTGACATTGGAATTGCTATGGGAATAGCTGGGTCTGACGCTGCAAAAAATGCCGCTGATATGATTCTGCTTGATGACAATTTTGCTTCCATTGTGACTGGGGTAGAACAGGGTGAGGAAATGGGAATAGTTTTTGCTGTGTGATGTGTTCCATGTGCATAATATAGAAATCAAGCTGGATGTATATTCTCCTCAAATTAGTAGAATTTCATCCTGTGTCACAGAAAATGTCTACAATGGATATATAGCCTTCAAGAAAGGGAAACAATGAAAATGAGGATACTACAGCATAACATTTAATGCTTCTAAATTAATTTGGTTTGCAACTTAAGGCTGGGTGATATGACAATATTACCGATAATTCGACAATACCAGACCTGGGGTCAATATCCAACAGTGGACCAGCAAGATGAAGATCCACAATCAGCCCCGATCCTCAAATTAACCTATATAAATGGGTCTTGGGTCTGCAAATGCTAAGCACAAAACTACTGAACACTCAACCAATCCAAGAAGTTAAACCACAGATGCTAAATTAAAATTCAATGTCACATACAATCAGATTTGTGCAATAGGCAATGATTGGCATAAATTGCAGAGGCACCAGAAAAATGGTCCCTACAATGTAAAAATAACAGGTTTTTATTACATTGTGGGGGACATTTGGTGTTAGACAACTTCATATTTTCATTCATCCTGATATTTTTAAATTAGAATATCATGTTTTTTTTTTTAGATATCGCCCAGCCCTATGTATAATAACCCCTACCTCCATGCACTGAAATATTACAACCGTTTTGTCAAAAGTATCTTTCACCTGCCCATGCTTCCTGTTTACTGTCATCCTTTCCTAGGTCGCCTGATCTTCGACAATCTAAAGAAATCCATTGCCTACACTTTGACCAAAAATATCCCGGAGCTCACACCCTACCTTATTTATATCACTGTCAGTGTGCCTCTTCCCTTGGGCTGCATCACTATCCTCTTCATTGAGCTTGCCACCGATATTGTGAGTTTATTAGTGTGTATTAGTAGAGTCATCATCCATCTCTTTTTTTGTTTCTGCTTTTCTGGCCCTTCAATCTAACCATCCTACTTTCTTTGTATCCACAGTTTCCCTCTGTGTCTCTAGCATATGAGAAAGCAGAGAGTGATATAATGCACCTGAAGCCTAGAAATCCACGGCGGGACAGACTGGTCAATGAAGCATTGGCTGTCTACTCTTACTTCCAGATTGGTTAGCGTCTCTAAATATGAATCAACAAACTTATTTTTTCATTCAGCCCCTAATATTCAAAGTTAATTTAGCTGAAGAACATGCTGTGTCTACAAGCTCTTTTGATCTGTAGATGTTCTTTGGGCTACTTGTATCTTGAGCAAATTAATGTAAAACAGAGCTGGGCAAAAGCTGGCCCGTGGAGCTATTTTTAATGGCCCATGCTGTTGTTAAAATAAAATAAAAAGTTTTATGTTCAGATCTATGAAGATAAACCAATTTTTCCCCATAAATTCTTCTTTGAATTAAAAATGAACATGTAGGTTAAACATGGAACATGCACAGGTTCTAGCAATTTCAGCATATACTTTCAATAAAGGAAGAAGAAAATTTAAGGTCTATTTTTTAACTTTAATGGGACATGAAAATCATCATTAAAAATGGCCCTGGGTTTGGCGCTCCAGAGAAAATAACTGTCCAATCCTGCTCTGCACTCATGTGGCAGAACAGTTTGGAAGGTTTATTTGGAAGTCACACATAACAAGTGACCAAAGTCATTCTCTGCATTAAATGTTTAAAAAATTGTGTAAATGGACATGTGCATGTAAATCTGTTGACAACTTTTTTATTCTCCTTCTAGGTGCAATCCAGTCATTTGCTGGCTTTACAGATTACTTTACAGCCATGGCGCAAGAGGGCTGGTATCCCCTGCTGTGCGTGGGGCTAAGATCTTATTGGGAGAACACTCACCTTCAGGACTTACAGGATAGCTATGGTCAGGAGTGGGTTAGTGCACTTCTTCCTTTTTGCTTTTGTTGCCTGAATTTAGGAAAAAGTATATTCCTGTAGGAGAGTTAGAGTACAAATAAACTGGTCACTTTTAGGTGTAGGTTAAGTATGTACATGTACATACTTCACCATGTACATAGAATATTTTCAGGAGTATTAGAAAAAGCATCAAATGAAACATTTTGTTGAATGTGTTTGTTGAAATAGTTACAAATGAGACATTTTGTTGTTTGTTGAACTTACAATGTCTTTTTTGAGTTTCAGTATAAAGAGAATTGTTATTGCTGTTTTGCTTTTCTCAGACATATAGCCAACGCATGTACCAGGAGTACACTTGCTACACTGTCTTCTTTGTCAGCATTGAAATCTGTCAGATTGCTGATGTCTTAATTAGAAAGACTCGCCGGCTGTCTGTCTTCCAGCAGGGGTTCTTCAGGTCAGTGGATTTTAATTGCAGCACATTCACTCTTTTAGCTACTTGTTTGTACATCAGAACAAACCAATGATTCCTCCCTCTGCAGAAACAAGGTGCTGGTTGCTGCCATAATCTTCCAGCTCTGTTTGGGAAACCTGTTGTGCTACTGCCCAGGAATGCCTAATATTTTTAACTTCATGCCCATTCGGTAAGCTTGCTTTTTGTTTTATAAGCATATGTATGCTGTCACATTTACAGTCTCCCTTTACAAACTGCAATTTATTTATAAAATATAACAGTTAATATTTTAGAAAACCCTAGTCATATTTCATCCTATTGAGAGATAGGATTTTCATCCTGTTGGAAGACATTTTGAACTCTTAAGGTTCAAAATTCAAATTCATACTTAAGCAAGATGATCTTATATATAGCTCTTGTACTGGTTTCTTATACTTATGCATATATATTACCTCTGTATTTCAGAGTTCAGTGGTGGTTTGTTCCATTACCTTATGGAATTCTGATCTTCATCTATGATGAGATTCGTAAACTGGGTGTGAGAAGATATCCAGGGAGTGAGTATCACTGCAGTGTAATCTCCAATATATGAACTTAAACATCCATTATTTATTTTTATAATCTCATGTGGGGCAGTCAGAGGTACAAATTTCATTATCAACAGTCTTTCTCAGTAATAAATATATTTGAAGGCTCACAATCTTTCACGCATGAATTGTCTAAAAACTGTGAAAAATATTTAGACAGAATGTTACACAAGTATACCATGTTTGGAAGGTAAATAACATATTTCAAACCTCTGCAAAAACTTACATTTAAAGCATCATATCAGGCGATAATCTTCTTGATTGTCTAGTCATTTTATGTTATACCATTTCATTTCATAATAATCAAGGAAATATTACATTCTTTTCTGCCAGGCTGGTGGGACCAGGAGTTGTACTACTGAATGAGAAGAACTTCATTGTTCATTTTTGGGGAAAATGGAAACAAACCTATTTAATAACTAATTAACTATGTACTGGAAATCCCAGTGCTCTCTATGCATAGAAATGTGTGCTGTATAACTAAAATATATAATATTTGTATTTATGTGTAATTCAAAGTAAAAAATTAGATTTAAAGATTTTTATAAATTTAGGTTTATTCAGACAATTGGGGAAAATGGTACATATTTAATCACTCTATTTACATAACCAGTTCTCCATAAAGAATTCAAACTCAGTGCATAGGTAAAATAAAAGGTGAAAAGAATGCTTTAATTGTGTCTTGAGTAGTTTTTGCCTTGGTGTCATGAGTTGTAAATGGGGCTTTCCTGTGCAACATCTGTGATAAACTGTAAAGCTTTCTGTCCAGCATCTCTGCCTTGTGACACAGAAACTTGCTTTTTACAATTACATGTAAAACAAATCTGGGAAATTATAGGCTGTACAGCACTGTTTTAAGGACATTTTAAACAAACATTACCTATGTACCGCTTGTAAACAAAAATGCAAAACAGTCTATATAAACATATTCTCATTCATGATCATGTGTTTAGATATTATTAAAAATGTAGATATTTTTTGCTGCAATAATCAATAATGCAAATTCACATATCAAACCAACCACAACAGTGGCTTGTGATCTAATTGTTAAGTACATAACTTGTAAAAACACAAGAAATTTTCAAATCAGAGGAGGCCATGTGGCCCATCAAGCTTGTTTGGGGGGAACTCAACTCAGAGTTGTTAAAATCTTATCTGTCAAGAACCGAAGGGGTTCTGGGGCAAGGGCGTGGCATGGTGCAGGCTGGGAAGAAGGTGGACGAACCACTGGCGGGTCAGGGAACATGGGGGTTTATTAACAATACAGAAAACACTAGAAGCACTTACTAAACAAAAACAGACCACGAGGGGACAAAACTAAAAAGGGTATAACAATGACTAACTAGAGACGGATTAGGGCATTAGGACAAGGTGCAGGTTGGCAGGCAAAGTACAAATAACACAACTAAAATACAACAATGACCCACTAGGGAATTTAACTAAGACAGGAACTTCAATACAAAAACTAAAACAGATAACGACACAGCAGGAGTGAGATATGAGACAATTAACCAATCAGGGAGGGTGCAGGACAATGAGCAATCAGGAAACACACAAGGATTGGCACAAGAACAGGCAACAGGTGAAGGTAATAACTGACTCGAGAGACTCAAACTAAGAGAAACTAAGAAAAATAATCTACACTAGGGGAATAACATACCGGTAAAACACAACCACGGGCACACATTGTTCCGTAAAGACCATATAGGTAAGAAGGGAGGTGGTGTTGCAGTATATGTAAAGGAAAACTTGCAGGCAAGGGAGCTTACTGATATAAGTAAAAGTACGGAAGCTATATGGGTAAAATTAGATGCTACAAACTCAAATAGCCTTATTGTCGGTGTTTGTTACAGAGCACCCAATGTAGCTGCTGAGGAAAGCAGATTGTTATACAGTGATATTAGGATTATGAGCAATAAAAAT